ATAGGCGTTTCAAGATGCACACTCTGCATACTATTCTGGGCGGCATCAGATACGGAGATTATTTGTCATCTATAGATCTCTGGGAGGCTTATCTCCATGTTCCAATCAGACTATCCCACAGGAGATTCCTCAGATTCTGCTACGGGGGGGCTCATTTTCAATACAGAGCCATGCCCTTTGGACTTTCCTCCGCCCCTCGTATTTTCACTAAACTCTTAGATGTAGTGGCAGCTCATTTAAGGGCGTCACCGGTCAGACTGCAATGCTACTTGGATGACATTTTAATTCAATCTTCATCATTCCAACAGGCACAGAACGATCTCCAGGTGACTATCACGGCCCTCCAGCAACACGGTTTCACTGTAAATTGGGAGAAAAGTCAACTGACTCCATCCACCGACTTGGTCCACCTCGGGGCCCGCATCAATACAGTGGCAGGTCTAGTATTTCTGTCGCAGGAACGGTGACGCAACATCCAGGCTACGGTGCAACAGGTGAGGTCTCTATGCAGGGCACCTCGCCTCCTGCTTTCTCAATTGTTGGTCAAATGATCTCGTGCTTGACAATCGTTCCTTGGGCAAGATTGCACTCACGACCTCTTCAGTGGCTTCTATTATCAAGCCATAAGGCATGTATTAGCAACTCCAATACCTGGATCAGGTCCCCCCGAAGGTACTCAAATCCTTCAACTGGTGGACGTCCACAGCTCTGACAAAAGGGTCCCTCTTCCACGAGCCTCAGCGCCTGATTCTTATCACGGATGCCAGCCTCTTTGGCTTGGGCGCACACCTCAACGCCCAGGTCACTCAAGGGCGTTGGACGTCCAAGGACCTCCTCAACGACGTCAACTGGCTGGAGTTGCGTGCCGCCCATCTACCCCTCTGCCACTTCCAACGCCAACTGTCCGGGCACCACGTGCTTCTCAGGATAGACAACATCACGACAAAGGCCCATGTGAACCGACAAGGCGGGATGCACTCCAGGATCCTAATGAGCAAAGCCGCGCAACTGGGGCTATGGGCGGAGAGACACCTACTTTCTCTGCAAGCAGAACACATAGCAGGAATCTCCAATTCCCCAGCAGACTGGCTGAGCAGGACTACCATCGACCAGGTGGAGTAGCAACTGCATCCCGCTCTCTTCCATCAAATTGTGTCCCACTTGGGCCAGCCTCAAATCTGTTCGCCAGTCCAAGCAACGCTCAAGTTCCTCGCTTCCTCTTCAAGTACTGGACTCCGGGGGCCGACGGGACCAACACACTTCGCTGCAAGTGGCCTTTATGCCTTTCCCCCAATATCCCTGATACCGAAGGTTGTGCGGAAGATCTTGGAGGAGAGTGCAGAGGTCATCCTTGTCGCTCCATATTGGCCCCGAAGTCCTTGGTTTGCGGACCTCAAGGGGCTGTCAATCACCCGCCCATGGAGGATCCCACCGGATCAGATCTCCCTTCAACAGGGGGCGGTGTACCATCCGGAACCCCAGTGGTTCCAGTTAGCCGCCTAGCACGTGAAAGGGAGATCCTGAGACAAGACCACTTCTTGGCCGAGGTAATATCCATCCTTCTCACTTCCCACAGAGGGTCCACCACTCGTATTTACGACGCAACTTGGTCTTCGTTTCATCGCTGGTGTGTCTCTTCGGGGATTGACCCCACAAGAGTATCCATTCCACAAGTGCTGGACTTCCTTCAAGCGGGTCTCAACGCTAGGTTAGCAGTCAAAACCCTAAGACAGATCGCAGCCTTGGCAACTGTTCTCACCTGCAAGGATTATAGCATGCTGTCTTAGCATCCACGTATTAGTTGTTTTTTACGGGGAGCTTCCAACTTTCGCCCTCCCCCCATCCACAGGTATCCCTCCTGGGATCTTTGTCTCATCCTTCAAGCCTTAACAGCCTCACCTTTCGAACCACTGTCCTCCGCCAGCCTCAAGTTTCTGACTTTCAAGGTTGCCTTCCTGGTCGCTGTCACTTCCGCTCAAAAGGTGTCCGAACTGGCGGCTCTCTCTATACACAAGGACTTGTGCATATTTCATTCGGATTGGGTCGTTTTGCGGATGGATCCCACCTTCCTCCCTAAAATCAACACCTGGTTTCACAGGGCCCAAGAAGTTCTGACTTCTGCCCCAGGGCCACTCATTCCAGCGAACATCGCTGGCACTCTTTGGATTTTCGTCAGGCCTTAAAAAAATATATTGCCAGGACAGCTCCGTTCCATAAATCTGAATCATTATTCTGTTCATTTCAACCAAGTTCCCTTGGCTCAAAGGTGTCTTCTCCCACTATCACTCACTGGCTCAAGGCCTGCATTTCCCTGGCCTACGAATGAAAGAACAAGCCCCTTCCTGGCCACATCACAGCCCACTCAACACGTAGCGCAGCTACCACAGTGGCCTGGGCCACCCAGGCTCCTCTTCTTGAGATCTGCTGAACGGCCACTTGAACTTCACTGACGCCTTTCATTCGCAATTACAAATTGGACAAGTTTGCATCAGCTGAAGCCGCTTTTGGTTGCAGAGTGCTCCAACAGGTCCTTCCTCCGGAGGGTCTGCCTGCCTCCTCTTCTTCTGCCCCCCCCCGAGGGATATTTAACTTGGGTATATCCCATTCAATGAACTCTCTAAGCAGCGCAAGTGAGAAGGAACATTGGACTTACTTGAAGGTTCTTTCTCCTTGCGCTGTGTGAGAGTCCATACCCTCCCTTATTGGGGGTCCCAGACTTCCTTTGACTCCTTTTCCGTTCAGGTTTTTGTTTCTTCAGATCTGGACTTCGTTTCAGAACTGGGGCTAAACTGGAAGAGGAGGTGTATTTAAACAAATTCTTACTCAGTCTCTGGCCAATCAGATGAGGATTAACCCATTCGATGGACGCAGCGCAAGGAGAAAGAACCTTCAGGTGAGTCCAATGTTCCTTTACTCAGAATTGTATCACAAATGTATTGAATTAAGATATATGTGTTTTCTAAATAAAATCTACTGCACTTGGATGACACACAAAAAGAACTTTTATTTGCCCCATTACTTGAGACAGAGATTAAATCAATAATTTTAAAGCAGGCAAGTGGTAAAACACCAAGATTGGTTTGATACCCTAAAAGTGGTATAAAAGCTTTATGGACCTTTTAGTGCCAAAATGTTGTCAATTGTATGGTGAGATCTTTGATAAGGGAATTGCATCTGCAGCATTCAATCAGGCTTATATTAGTTATACCAAAAGCAGGTAAAGCCCACACTCTGGATGCTAATTATCATCCAATCTCATTAATTAACATTGATACAAAGATCATTAACAGTAGTGTTAGTAAATATTGTTTGTTATTAAGAGTTATCAGACTGTATAAAAACTAGGCAATCAACCAACAATAGATTAGTTGTAACTTTAACTGATTTGAATAAAAACGAAGATCAACTTGTAATTTTATTAGATGCCGAATAGTCTTTTACAAAATATAAAATCAATACATGTTTGTTGTATTAAATCAGTTCGGATTTCCTCTGGAATACCTAAAATGGATTATTCTATTATATATCACTCACATTTAAAGTAAAGGCTAATGGTATATTCTCATTAGGTTGCCAAAGTATTAGAGCTTCAGCTTCAATATCTGTCCTTCCAAAGAACAGTCAGGGTTGATTTCCTTTAGAATTGACCGATTTTTTATTTAGTTTTGTATTTTGTATTTTAATTTTCTTCTGAATAAAATAAAAAATATTTTTTAAAAAAGAATTGATTAATTTGATCTCCTTGTAGTCCAAGGGGCTCTCAAGAGTCTTTTCCAGCACCAGAATTATGTATCTTTTGTTGGCAATGTCTCTGCTTTTCAGTACAGGTAGTCCTTGACTTATGACCACAATTGAGCCCAAACTTTCTGTTACTAACTGAACATTTGTTAAGTGAGTTTTCCCCATTTTACTAACTTTCTTGCCGCAGTTGTTAAATGAATCACTGTAGTTATTAAATTAGTCAAACTGTTAAGTGAATCTGGAATCCCCATTGTCTTTGCTTGTCAGAATGTCACAAAGAGGACCATGTGATCCCAGGACACTGCAACCCTCATACATATGACTTAATTGCCAAATGTCTGAATTTTTATCATATGACCATGGGGATGTTACATGAGTCGTAAGTATGAAAACTGATCATAAATCACTTTTTTCAGTGCTATTGTAACTTTGAACAATCACTAAATGAATTGTCGTAATGCACTATCTGTATACACTTGAATATTTACATTACAAAGGTATATATAGCATTCTTTACTGTTGACTGCTATAACAATATTTTAACTTCATTCCCTTTTCCTGTTTTTTTTTTTCGTTTTTGAAGTCCTTTATTTTCTTTGAGAATGTATGTATTTGCATTGTAATTTTCTTTGCATTTCATTTTTTTCTTTTGCTATTACCATTAAACATCTTTTTTTAAAAAAAGCTACCATCTGGATCAAAAGCTCTTTGCTCACATGTGTAAATTTCACCATCCTTTACGGCTTTAAACCATGAAAAATTTAAAGCACCAGACTAACAGAAAAAAAGTTTCTAAAGAAACAAAATACACTGCATCTTTGCAGTCTAAAAAGAACACTTTAAAAAAAATTGCCTGCAGGGTGTAGTTACTGTAGAAACCAAGCTCTTCATCATTTTCTCCAAGCTGAAGACACAAAAGAGTTGGAAAGGAAGGATCAATGGGAAGTAGCTAATAAAGTTCCTTGTCACATCAGCTGCAGGGAAATCAGACATTAATTCATTAAACTTACCATGTAATGCTTCTGGAATTTGAGGCTCCTCTGTACAAATACAAAAGGAACTCTGCCTATGGTAACACTACAGTATTTGGTGATTCTAAAGACCAAGAGTAAATACAAGCTTGTTGTGTGATGGTTAAATTTTATCTTCAACCTAAGCTCATGAGCAAATATAATTTGATAGGAAGAAAACAGCATGTCTACACTTGCTTCAGATTTCAAAAAGCTTCTTTCAACAAATTATACAAGTTACTCAAGTCATTTCTCATAAGCCCTAACCCAACTTTTTATTTTATCATTCTTACTATTTTAATACAACAAAACTGATACATTTTTTTTCTCCTATTTACAGAATATGTAGGACTTCCAAACAAAACTGGCATTATAGGGTGGAAAAAAGTAAAGAAACAGAAAGCTATACTGAGATGAAGAGAGGGCAACGTGGTTCACATTCAGATCTCATAGATGTCCGGTAATAATCTTCAGGAAACTGGCATAGCACAAAACTAGATACCTGCTGTGAGAAGTGTATTTCTTTACAAGAATGCCTCTAGACTTTGTATACACTCCACACGTATTATAACAAAGTAAAGATATAAACCTGCAGTTTATTTGGAAGTTTGCTCACAAATCTAGGAAAAAAAGATAAGTTGGAACAATATGAAGCATCCAAAAGGACAAGACAATTATGTAGAAAGTAATCTCATCAGTGCTTTCTGGTAAATGACTGCTGTAAATGCAATTCTCAACACAGCCGCCATGTATGAATAGGCAAGGCAACATAATGATGAGCATTCTGTGAAAATACTCACAGTATAGACTCAGAACTCCAAATGTAGCCATCAGCCCATGGTCTAAACGTGTTAACATTTCCTTGTTAGTTGCATTTAAGCCAGTGATTGCACTAATCACATTTCTAGCAGCCAACTATGTCTCCTGAATATTAATATAATAATTCCATTACTAAACAGAAGCCAACAGCCAGGTGTTTCTAAAACATGTAAGATAGTGTTTTCCTCTAGAAACAAATCTCAGCCCATGCAGTGTATATCTGTTGTCTTAGGTTACTGGGGGGTTTCCATCTGCTCTAACCCTTTTCTTCTTCCCAAATTTACACTTCCTGAGATTTTCTATACTGTACTTTGGCATCTTGCTTCCTTCTGTTCCATGGTTCCTGTTATATCCATGCACACATAATTCTCCATCATCGCTTCCAGGCTTGCTCTTCCTCACCCTATTGCTGTTGTTTTGAGGAAGTCATTTACTCAGGGGCTCCTTAACAGCTCTTGTGGCCCATGTCCTCTACAGTCATCACCTTTCCTCACTCCTTCAGCAATTTTGGCCAGGGAGTGCAGGGGTGGGGAGAGGTCCTCAGTTCTTGCTGGGCTGCTTTTGTGCTTTAGAGGAGGAAATGTGTTGGTGCTGCTGCTTCTGTTACCTTATTTTCCCCAGTGCTGCTACCTCCACTAAATTCTCCTCTTCTCTGTCCTGAAGCTCTTTCACATATTAACAAGTCTGAGTCTCACAATCACAGATACACATTCCTGTTCTTTACCAAATTCCCAATTAAAAAAAGATACCTCCTATTAACTCAGCCTTGCCCATTTAAAAAAAAAACATTTTCCAATTGAAAAATCCCCCAATCCAGGTGTGCAAAGTTTGTCACGTCATACCCAAAAAGATATGAGGCTGTAATTGTGCCAATGGTGCTTCAACAGAATACTGAGTGAAGGGTATGAATACTTATGCCAATGTGATATTTCAGGGTTTTTTTCTTTTTAATAAATTTACAGATATTTCTAAAATTCTGTTTTTACTTTGTCATTATGGGGTACTGAGTTGACAAAATTGACAAAAGTGAAGGGGGTCTGAAAACTTCCTGAATGCACTCTATGCTAATTGTATTGTACCCATTCTCTCAGACAGGTATATAAACATTTTTCATTGGAGCCAGACTAAGTTTACCTACACATAGCTCTAGTGAATTTATTAGCATCACCATCTTTTCCTATTTTTTTCATTCACTGGAACTTCTATGTTGCCTGTTACCATTTAGATAACAATATTTACTGTAAATTATTTTTTAAATCCACAATATATTGATTTTGATTGATTTTGAGCCCTGGTGGTGCAGTGATTGCAATGCAGTATTGCAGACTGACTCTGTCCATTGCCAGGAGTTCAATCTTGACTGGATCAAGATTGACTCAACCTTCCATCCTTTGAGCTCAATAAAATGAGGATCCAGATTGTTGGGACCAATATGCTGATGTTGCAAACTGCCCAGAGTGTGCTGTAAAGCAGGAATCCCCAACCTTTCTGGCTCCGCAGACTGGCAGCGACAGGAGGGAGTGGATGGTTTCTCACACATACATGCGTTCCGCTTGCGCAAATGCAGCTTCACATGCTTGCCTGTCGACTGCCTGTGCAGCCCGGTTCCCAACAGGCTGCAGCCACAGTAAAGCACTCAGTATGTGAATCACTCCTCATATAACCATGAAGAGTTTGGTTAACTATTTAGAGCAGTAGTTAACCTTCCCAAACCTTTTCCTTTGTTACCCAAAATTTTTTATCAGAAAATCATTTTACCCAATGTAATTAAACACTTCAAGTAAAGTTAAATGTCCCTGTTGTGATTTGGTAATGGGTCTGCATGTCATTAGCCAAAGAAAAACCACCTTTATCTAATTTTGGATAATTTACCCAGGAATGGGAAACACTGTTTCAGGGCACCAGTTTTTTGATCTGTACAGTATATCATTTCAGTACATTTCCTACAATCAATGTGAAATCATACCTTTTCAAACATGCTATGCTATTTATTTTATTTATTTATTTATTTATTAGTTTGATTTATATGCCACCCTTCTCCGGAGACTCAGGGCAGCTTACAATGTGTTAAGCAATAGCCTTCATCCTTTTGTATATTTATACAAAGTCAGCTTATTGCCCCCACAAACCAGGTCCTTGGAAGGATGGTAGGCTGAGTAAATCTTGAGCCTGGTGAGAATTGAACTCGCAGTAATTACAAGCAGCTGGCAGCTAAATACTACTTTAACAGTAGTTTAGTCCACTGCACCACCAGGCTCCTTACTACATACATAGCTATGCTATGCTAACTTTTTTTTTGACATACAATTTGCTCCCTCTGCCCCTGGTTAATGTTCAACAAGCACAGCAGATCATCACTAGTTTTAAAAATATTTAAAAACCTACTTGGTTAACATAGTATACAGTATTAATTCATATAACCTCCTGTACTTCCCATTCAGTTTCAAGATTGTTCAGTTTTCTTTTGATCCAGTAGTCTCTGGAACTGAGAAGAATAAAAGGAAACACTAATTTGCACTGTGGGGATTCTGCAAAACATCCTAGCCAATATAACATTTCAAATAGGCTTTTGCACAAATCCAGAACTTATATATGTGAATTCATAGATGAATACTAGAAAAGCTAACTTACACGTAACTAATTCCTCATGGTTTCTATGATTAATAAACTGCAACACCCAGAGACAGATAACAGGTCAGATAGCACTCAAGCTAAAAGCAAGCAAGAGGAACAGATTAACAGGGACACAAGAATGGAGCAAAAAGAAATTCAAGCTATCCTGTGGTCTAGAAGAATAAAAGACAAACTACACAAACAAGAAAAGAGCAATTTCCAAAGTGAGACAGCACATTTGTGATCTTTTCCAGGAATCATAGATGAATGTAAAAAAATGGAAATGGTCATTTGGTTCATCTTGGACACAGGGGCCAATGTTCTTGGGGTGATAAGAAAGGGCAGTTCCACACCCAGGTACAAGAGCCTGAGAGACAGCTACAATCTACCTGTACTAAGGTGCTATCATAGCTAAGCCAGGATCTGTTCTTTTCCACTTCCCCCTGCTTTTTCTTACTATCAGTGGTCACTGCCAAAAGGAAAGCAACCTTACTTCCCCATCCTACCCTCCTTGGGTAGAGGTGAATTCCAGCATAGGGAATGGTAACTGATCTCTGACGCCACTGTAGGGCAGTAACCCAGGCCTGTTTATGATATGAGCAAGGGAAGAAAGCTTCGCTATGAGATTCAGTGCTTCTGTATTACAATAGGGTCTCTTCCAAGGAGCCAAAAGCTTTGCTCCTAGACACACTCTACATAGCCATCGACCATATGCTTAGCTCCAATGTCAACAAGCAACTCATCATTGTGCAACTATTACCATGGCCTAAGCAAGCCACATAATTGTTTTTATTAAGCATTTTTATGTTCAGTAACATAATGTGATACTCTTTATTGTCTTTATATGCTGGATTCCCTAGAGACCTTTGTATCAATGTACAAAAAGTTTTCAATGTAACAACAAAGTTGACAATTTGGCTTACAGTCTGCATATAGGATGCAAGTCACTAGAATGTGGAAATACTAGTTGACTATGAATTCTAATTTATTTATTTATTTATTTTATTCAATTTGTATACCGCCCTTCTCCTAGTGGACTCAGGGCGGTGCACAGCCAAAACTAAAACACATACCAATACAAAATTTAAAATTATTAAAAGAACTACATACTTTGGCCCCAAATTTAAAACAATTCAAATTAAAACCCATTGACAAATTAAAAGCTAAAAAACTAAAAAAAACTAAAAGGGGGGGGTTCACACCAGCCCTGCTTGATGGAAAAGAAAAGTTTTCAGGGCACGGCGAAAGACCCGGAGATCCGATATCCTTCGTATCTCCGGGGGCAAATCGTTCCAGAGGGCAGGAGCTGCCACAGAGAAGGCCCTCCCCCTGGGGGTCGCCAGCAGACATTGTTTAGCTGACGGCACCCGGAGGAGCCCCTCTCTGTGGGAGCGTACTGGTCGGTGGGAGGCTATCGGCGGCAGAAGGCAGTCCCGCAAATACCCAGGTCCTACGCCATGGAGCGCTTTAAAGGTGGTAACCAACACCTTGAAGCGCACCCAGAAGACCACTGGAAGCCAATGCAGCTCACGCAGGAGAGGTGTCACATGGGAGCGCCCCCTCGCTCCCATAATCCCCCACGTGGCTGCATTCTGCACCAGTTGGAGCCTCCGGGTGCTCCTCAAGAGGAGCCCCATGTAGAGAGAATTGCAGTAGTCCAGGCGGGAAGTGACGAGTGCCTGAGTGACTGTGCGTAAGGAGTCCCGATCCAGAAAGGGACACAACTGGCGAATCAGGCAGACCTGATAAAAAGCCCCTCTGGCCACGGCCGTCATATGCTCTTCTAAAACAGCCGTGCATCCAGGAGGCCGCCCAAGTTGCGAGCCCTATCCGTGGGGGCCAATAACTTGCCCCCAATAGCCAGCGATGGCACCAGCTGGCTATATCGGGATGCCGGAAGCCACAGCCACTCGGTCTTGGAAGGGTTGAGTCGAAGCCTGTTACCCCCCATCCAGATCCGCACGGCCTCCAGGCACCGGGACATCACTTCAAGGGCATCGTTGGGATGGCCTGGGGTGGAGATGTACAGCTGAGTATCATCAGCGTACTGATGGAACTCCACCCCAAAGCCACGGATGATCTCACCCAGCGGCACATAAATATTGAACAGAAGGGGCCAGAGGACCGACCCCTGAGGCACCCCACAAACAAGGCGCCTCAGGGTCGACCTCTGCCCCCCTGCCAACACCGACTGCGACCGGTCGGAGAGATAGGAGAACTACCACAAAACAGTGCCCCCCACTCCCAACCTCTCCAACCGGCGCAGTAGGATACCATGGTCGATGGTATCAAAAGCCGCTGAGAGATCTAACAGGACCAGGATAGAGGAGCAACCCCTATCCCGAGCCCTCCAGAGATCATCCACCAACGCGACCAATGCCGTTTCCGTGCTGTGCCCAGGCCTGAAGCCGGACTGGAGCGGATCCAGATAGACAGCTTCATCCAGGTACCCAGGAAGCTGTTGCGCCACCACATTCTCAACAACCTTCGCCAAGAAGGGAAGGTTGGAGACTAGCCAAAACAGCCGGATACTTCCCTTGTGTGAAGTATGCCTTCACACAAGGGAAAAAAAACTCTGCCAGACCAGAAAACAGACTGGTGAAGAATAGGACTGAACCAAGCTAGATGGGCTCATTGTTGAACCACCAAGACCAGTAGTTCAATTCTGGAGGGCCCTGGAGGCCTATTTATTAGGAATCGCATCACTATTTAGGCAACATAATTTCTTCTTAAAGAGATGCAGGGAACAGATATAAATTGTGATTGTAATCTAAATCTTAATACAATCATATTTCACACTGAGCATCATCTCACTATGTTCGCTCAATAGTTTCAATCAAAAGCATAAAGCACACAACTTTGCCCCAAAATCCAAGCATGCAACTCTACCAAAAGACAAGCATTAAGCCTCAAACCACCTCCAGAAGAGTTCTGTCTTCAGCTGTTCCACTAGGCAAATAAAGCTGGGGCTAATCTACTTCCAATAGGAGGCCATTCCAGAATGCCAGAGCTGCTACATAAAAACAGTGACTTTGGGCTATGGCCCCATCTCTCCACTAACCACTAATTGCTTTTCCTCACAAGATCTAATAAATTAGGTCAATTCAGTGATAGCGATTCTAAAGGTAATAAGATGCCAAGCCACAAAGATTGTATAGGTTAATATTTGCACTTTAAATTACACCTAGAACCTAATGTAGGGCTCATTAGAAAGTTTATGAGCTCTAAATTACCATGAATTCTGGATAATACATGAGCTGCTGCATTTTGGGCCAAATAAAATCTCCAGATAGTCTTTAAAAGCAGCCCCGTTTATAATATGTGGCAGTAGTCTCATGAAACTATAACAAAGACATGAATAGCAAGGACCTCATGCCCTAGATAGGGTTACATGACCATGCAGTTAATGGAATCTTCAGACATTCATGACAGACACAAAGACCTAAGAGGGAATCATAAAAATTCATCTGTCATCACACACACACAGTTATAAAGGACAATAAAATAAAGCAGGAATGGATGGAAGGGAATAGGACACTCTACCATCATCTGATCCATCTACAGGGATCATGCCATTCTGAATTTTAAAAAAACAGAAGTCCACTCTGGAAGGGTACAAATTTTAAAAGTCAGAAATGTGCTTCATATCAGCTAAAAAGACTGAAAACTGAGATAACTAATCAATTAACCTGTACTAGTATAACACTGGCACATGGTAAGAATCAATTAACTAGGGGAAGATAACTCAGTCAAGAGTGTCATGTGAATATAACCAACTAGAGGAGCAGCTACATAAAGTTTCCCTGCCAGATAGAACATTCAGTTCCTACCAACTTGAAAAGTGAAGAGCGGCATACCTTGGCTCCATTTGTTCCCTCCAGCAATTCTGGCCCCATTCAACAGCTAAAGAAATAAGAGCTACGAATTACTATTCAAGCAAGTGTTCCAGCAAGAAACATCAGGCCAGCCTGATCTGAATGCCAGCATGTAAATGCCAACATACTACTCATCGCTTCTCTCTGGTCTGGAGAAACTGGTCTCTCTCCTCTCACTTACTTTTGAAGACTTTTAAAGGATATATATATCTATATTGATAAATAATTTGGGAAAGCAATTATCTAGTATTAAAATATTAGTAAGTAAATAAGTAAGTAAATAAATAAATATATAAATCCATACAGTATTACTGACTATACAAGAAGTCAGATCTAGGTTGGTTAAACATTTCTGACAACTGAGATTTTTCTCTGAATTTGCTTTCAGTCAAATACATGGAAGGCCTCGATTTACGAACACACTTCAACACAACATTTCTGTTGCTAAGTGAAACATGTGTTAAATGAGTTTTGCCCCATTTTACAACCTGTCTTGCCACAATTGTTAAGTGAATCACTGCAATTGTTAAGTTAGCAACACAGTTGTTATGCGAGTCTGGCTTCCCCATTGACTTTGCTTGGTAGAAGGTCACAAAATGGGATCACATGACACTGGGACACTGCAACTGTCATAAAGATGAGTCAGTGGCCAAGTATTTGAATTTTAATCATGTGACCATGGAGATACTGCAATGGTCATAAGTGTAAAAAACAATAATATGCTGTTGTCACAATGCTGTTGTGACTTTCAATGGTCACTAAATAATCTGTTATAAACCAAGGACTACTGTAATAACCTTATTTTAAAGAAGGTAAAAATAATTTAACTACCCATACAGGCTACATTTAGAAAAAATCAAACTAACAACAATTTAGGAAACAAAGGCAATTTCCTTCATGACACAGAAGAGGAAGCTTATCTCAATGGAAAACAGTCTGTATAGAAATCACTACAGATAGCCTTGAACTTACAACTATTCAAAGTTAGGATGGAACCATCCATGACCCAAGTTAAGGCCATTGCAAGTTCATGTGATCATAAACATTTGGCTGCACTAACAACCACCCTAGCATTTTAATTTCCTCCACCCATCTATCTTCTGCCATCTGTACTCCACTGCCTAACCATTGTCTTCTTGCTCTCACTGATATCAAGTTGTGCCTAGCAGCCCAGAGGTTTACCATACCAAAAAGCCCTTTTGCAAAAAGTTCCTTTTGTTGGATGAAAAGAAGCAAGAACAACCAGATCTATAGATCAATAGAAAGATCGATAGGTCGACAGACAGACAGATCAGAGTTACATCTGGTGCAACCAGACTTACCAGCACAATTGAGCCCAATATTTCCATTGATAAGCAAGACAGTTAAGTGAGTTTTGCCCCACTTTACGATATTTTTGCCAGCTGTTGAGTGAATCAAGAAATCATCAAATGAATATGGACTTTTCTTGTCAGAAGTCAGCTGCGAAGGTTGCAAATGGTGAACACATGACCGGGGAAAGCGCAACTGTCATAAATACATGCCAGTTGTCAAGCGCCCAAATTTTGATCATACAACCAAGGGGACGCTGTCGTAAGTGCGAAAAGCAATCATAAGTCACTTTTTTCAGTGCAGTTTTAACTTCGAATGGTCACTAAAGAAATGGTTGTAAATCAAGGACCACCTGTAGTTTCTTTATTGCTGTTCGCCCATAGGCAGGAATTTAGCCAGACTAAGGCATGCTCATCTATCTGATAAACCTTGTGAAGGTTTAGAGATGATCCCTTCTGGGTCTTTTTCTGCATACCAAGAACTCAAGGCTGATCTTAGTTTCTTGCAAAAAAGCCCTCCCTCTTGCAATTCTGTGCCAGACTCCACCACACCTTTACCAGACTGACACTGGACTTTTAAAATTAAAATGTTTAAAACATTAACCATCTAAAAACTAAAACATTAAAAGTTTACAAAAACTGAATAAAAAAGGGAACTGGATAAAAATTTGGTTGTTAATTTATAGCCAGGACAGATCGTAAGAATTTATCATTTATGGATTAACTGTAGCTAAGGAAGCTGACTTGGCTTCCATAAATAAGAGACAAAATCAAATGGGTTTAATTTAATCCAGTTTGCTTATAAGCATCAACAGATGAGTTTATAGACAGTATTAATCAGAGTTTATTATGCTACCATGAGACCTCTTAGCCAGGATTCTATGTCTTTTGGGATCACATCTGGTGATAGGTTGTAGAGATAGATGAAACTATTGCATTACCATTGGTCAAAGTGTATCAGTGTTGCAGAACATTAAAATACTGGTCCTAAAGTACATCAGTATTATATCTGGGATTTCATAGCATCCATGGGCATATTCCAATTTATAATTAATTTGTGTGTGTGTGTGTGTGTGCGTGTGTGTGTGTGTGTGTGTGTGTGTGTGTAAATGAATGGAATGAATGACAAGGCATATAATATAGTTCTACCCATACATGTGATATGGATGATATGTAGGTAAGAGCTTAATCTCAAATAATCCTTTGGTAGAAGTTGTGGGTTTACAACATTCATTATTTCTTCAGGGCTATGACAGACATATTTATTTCCAGGGATTTATGGAATCAACTAAATTCTAGAATGATCTGAAAGACATTTCTATATTTAGAAATGATGATCTGTTCAGCATTGGAATGGTAAGGAGAGGGAGACGTTAATACAATTATTGAATACTCTAATTACTTAACATATACAGGGGTACTGCACAAAATTAAAAGTGGCTTATGACATTAACAGCAAATGGCCAGGAATTCATCAAAACATACAGAAAAGCATTTATTCTGCTTCCTTCACTACTTCCTCAGGTTAACTACACAGCAGAACTCTTCCACTTAATGTTGAAATTAACATCTGACACAATAATGTCTATGCCTTCTGTGACATATTTTCTAAGTGTTCTGAAGATAAAATTGTTTTCCTGCTATTTCAGGAAAACTAAAGTAAAATATCTAACACACAATCTATCCCAATTCTGAGAGATGTTTCAGGTGCACTCTGAAAGCATAGGAAAGAAGTTTGATTTAAACCATATGCATTCTCATTTTTTTTCTTTCATACCTGATCATAATCAATTGAGTCAGAACATATGTGCATGAGCTGCTGCCTCAGTTGATCTTCTTCTAAAAAGGAATACAAGTACTAGTAAAAGTTGTTAAATATTTATGGCCATAGGATAGATTTCTTTCTGCAAAGTCACAGGCTAGTTATTTATGAATGGCTGGCATCACACTTCAGGCAAAGTTCCTTCATTCTGGGAGACTGCAAATATTACAGTAATAATGGTCCAGTACCAGAAATTAGGTAACAAAAAATATTTTCTCAAGTATCCCTTTGGTGTGTGTGGTTTTGGAAGAAAATTATCTTGATTGCTTGACTGGGTAATCCTTACTAGAACAGAAGGACTGCAATCTCTGCCTGATCTTGCAATGGTGTTTGATGCTATTGACTTAACGTACAATTTTACACTTTCTCTACTTCGCCTCAGAGATGATAGCATTGAGTTACCACAAAATACCATTTTGTCCCCCGTGCCATTTTACATGTTTGATATTAGACACTGAAGATGAGGGTCATGATGTTATCAATATGCTAATGAAACAGAGTTGTACTGATCTGAATTATAATGCCTTTATAAATCTTATTTCAGTGTCTTGTTCAAGACCAGTACCTTAGATTTAATCCTGGCAAGACAATAATCTTCTCTTACTATTCCTAAAAAAAGACAAAAAAACAACAACATTTATTCATTTGATTTGGATGGACTCTACTCTCCCTCAAAAGCAGCAGGTATACAGCTTGGGAGAATTCAGTAAATCATCACTAATACTGGTTGGCTAAATTGGTACCATGATAAAGGGGACAAAGCTTAATCAAATGCATTAGAGGTAGATCCCACTTAACAACTGCCCTGTTTAGCAATTGTTCAAAGTTACAGCAGTGTGAAAAAAAGTATAGTAACTTTATGACCAGTCCTTGAATTTTTGACCATCACAGTGTCCTTGCGGCCACATGATTAGATTATCATTCAGGCAATTTCAAATTCAGGCAATTTCAAGCATTTTTATCTGTGTTCACATCCCGTGGTCACATGATCACCGAGAGCTTCACAATCAGCTTTTGAAAAGCAGAATCAATGAAGAAGCTGACAGCAAAAGTGCAAGTCATAGTCATGTGATGTTTTGCTTAACTACAGCATCGCTTAGTGATGGAATTTTTGAACCCAACTGTGGTTGTTAAGTGAGAACTACTTGTAATGATCTTACCTTCTGATTACTATAATACATCTCTTGGGAGCAACTTTTACCTGAGGTCTTGAAATTGAAACAAGTGCATTATTCAATAGCAAATGATCATGTAGCATCAGTTTTGGTATTAGCACCCAAACATTGCTATGATCACCAGAGGATATTCAGGTGCATCTTACTAATTTTTATTTGCAGCAGTCAAAAAAGGGCATTTTCTCTTTTTTTTAAACAATTTTTTTATTTTTTGAAAAACACACAAACATTTTTCAGAACAAGCCATTGATCCAGTCCTAAGTAGGTACAATTACTAATTTCTCTTTAACAGAAGTTTTTTCCAAATCCCCATTAGTTACCATCTTTAAAAAAAAAGAAAAAGAAACAGAAAAAAATGTCTAATTTATATTAATTTACACAAATCAATTACATTTCTATTATTTTACTTCAAATCTTAATTTCCAAATAATACAACTTAATATTCTATACCACTATTGCCATAAATTCTACCTAATTAAAAATGTCTTGAAACCCATTACCTAAATCTTAAAATCCTTAACCAAATATCATTTCAATTTCTTTTCTCTTAGCATGGATGGATATATCTTTAAAATATAAATCATCAAGATATTTACACAGTATTTAGTCTGAAAAATCTTTTTAAATTAGTACAGGTAGTCCCTAACATATGACAACAACTGAGCCCACAATTTGTTGCTAAGAAAGGCAGTTCTTTAACTGATTTTTATCCCATTTTACAACCTTTCTGCCATCATTGTTAAACCATTAAGTGAATCATGTAGTCATTAAGCAAATATGGATTCCTCCATTGACTTTGCTTGTCAAAAGCTGGCAGGGAAGGTTACAAATGGAAATCACATGACCAGGAACAGGGTAACTGTCATATCAGTTACATACTGCAAATGGTCGTAAGTATGAAAACCAGTCTTAAACCACTTTTTTCAATGCTGTCGTGAATTCAATCAGTCTCTAAATGAATGGCTGTAAATTGAGTACTACCTGTACTGAAAAGATCACAAAGCTGATATCAGGCAAGCTTCTATTTAAGATAGGATCTGGATAAAAAAGAAACTGAAGGTGGAAGAAAGGAATCATTCCTTGAAATCAAAAGTAGAAAATTCCAAAGTGTACAGTTAAGGTTTTCTAATGGTGCACTACATTATTAGTCAACATAGTTTTCCTTGCAACAATAAAAAAAAATGGCGGAAAGTGGTCCTTAGTTGCCCAGGAGCAAAGAACCTTTTATTCTAATAAACATATTGCACTCTGCAGGCAAACATTCTTTATATTTCAACGAACTTTTCAATTAAATCATATATATTTTCATTTACTGGCTCTTACATATGATATATTCCAATGTTATTTCTGCATTCTATTTTTCTGAATAAATTAAAATCAGTATGGCTTTTACATATTTTCCAAATAAATATATTAATGGTATTAAGCCCTATTAAATCTGAATGTAGTATGTGTAAACTGTTAAACAGGGCATTTTCAAAGTGCAAATAAACATGAGATGAAATCTTGGCAAAGATCTTAAGTGAATGGAATTTCAAGTACCTAAGTAAGATCTCAAAATTACCTAAGCCTTCTTCCTAAAATTAAACAAGATTAGGATTCTTTATTATGAAAGGTATCGTGCTACTTATGTTATTTGACAGTCATCAACAATTGAAAAAAATGCCAATCCACAAACATTCTATGTTTATTGTGTATATTAATTTTTTCTCCCAAATAATTCATCTTTAAATGGAAGTATTGTCTTAAGTTCACTAGAATACAATGATAGAGACAAATGATTTTAATCTGTTTTAACTTAATCCGAATTAAAACAAAACAGAATATCTGGCTTTTCCAATAAATGACATTCCCTGCATAAGTTACAAAAGTCAAGTAACACATTGAGCTACACAAGTAATATGACACCATGAATAAACACTTCACTAATCAACTTTTAATAAGCAAGGTGTACTTATTGTCCTTGCTGCATTTGCAAAATGCCTTTTCTATTTTAAGACTAACCATCTACAAATATTTTCTCACCCACAGAAAGCCTTCAAAAGCAGCCCCTTTTCTAAACCCACTCGCCTTTTCTTGTTTCTTATTCCTTATTTCTTTTTAAATTAAAACCCACAATCTTTTTAGCCACAAGTTAAACCCTCGGTGTGGAGATACTTGTTTGAATACTGAAAGTACATCTGCGTTTTTCTCTTGAAAACACCAGGCCTCTCATACTCTCCCCTCGAAAAGTACAGCAGAGTGGGTGCATCATGTGTGCAGTCTGGAAGACAACTTGGAAGCCCAAGTCTAGGTAATTGGGAGGGGGGGGGAGTATTTATCCATAATTGCACCCGTGACGGGAAACTATTTTTTTTTTAAACCCAACAGGACTTGCTTCCCACACAATAAATCGCTTGTGATCCCATAACTGGACAAAACAGAGAGCAACTAAGCGCCATGTCTAGGCCAGCTTGAGCGAAGAAGCGGTGCTCATGTGCTGCTGCTGCTGCTGCTGCGGACACCCTTCAAGCCTCCTTGTGCGGGTGCTGCCGCCACTACAACGAGGCTCCCTCTTCCACGAGCGGGGTCCTGCGGCCTTGGAGGACCCCGGAGAATCTTAAAACGCCTTGAGCTCGCCTCTCACGCCCACCCGACGAACACGCCGGGAAGGCGGGAGCGGCGACCGGCGGGCAAAGAGAAAGATCCTGGCCGGAACGCGTGTCTCAATCCATCCCCCCCACACACTTAAACTCGCCGGCAGTCCCTCCTTCCCTCCCTCCGCCTCACACTCACACGCGGGGCAGCTGCAACGGTGGCGCCCCCCGGCGCTGGAACACTCCGTCCACGAAGACGCCGTTCTTGCCCAGGCAACGCAGGTAGAAATCACCACTGCCAGACGAAGGACTGGCGGCAACAGGCGTCGACTGAGTCCCGGTCCCGTCGCCGGTGAGGGTCGAGGCGGGGCCGCTACCGCTGTTGGCAGGGGCCTGGGCCTGAGCGGGCGGGACAGTGAAAATCTCCAGGTGCCGCCGGGAGATGAAACTGGAGTGGCCCATGCTTACGTCCACCGAGCCCTGCGAGGAGTTGCGGCCGATGGTTACTGAGCGCTTTTTCATGAGGTATTCGAACTCGCGGCCCTCTAACCGGGCCACGGCCGCCGATGCCGTCCCCGCCGCCATCTTGGCCGAGGCAGCGCGCGGGACCGAAGGGCCCCCCCTCTGTTTCCCCCCCCGCGCGCGTGCGCGCCCTCCCCCCCTCCCCGATTCCCCACACCGCCCGCCGGGTCGGCCCCAGACACCGACAGACACAGCGGCAGAGCGCTACCGTGCAACCCACACTCACGCTATTCTCCCTTCCACTAGACAGGCTGCCGGCTTAGCCAATGAGCGTGCTGCACGCTCTTTGGAGCTTTTCGGTGTCCGCCACTCACAAGCGTCACCGGGATCGACGCAAGGCAACGAGGGTAGATTGTGCCCGCACTGGAGACAGGCAGGCAACGAGATGGAATGAAACTATGGATTGGATTTGTAATTATTTGGAGTGGGACGGTGGTAGCAGCGGTTACTACTGTTAATACCGTAACAAAAACTTATTTCGGCAAGAACTAGCCTTAAAAAGGATGGAAAACTCCATAAATGAATTGTAAGGAATTTAAAAACTTCTTAATGTAATGCTCTCGGTTCATTCCTCTATAGATACACATATGCATTATCTCATGACAGAGGAAGTAGATTCTCAGTTGCTTAAGCAAAAAGAATCAACACTCCTCATTTTGCTTTTTTCAGATATATAATACTGATTTTCTCCTATAATATTAGGATGTACTGTATGGTAACAGTAGCAATCATTTTCATACTATATACCACACTAAGGAGAAAGCTGCTTATGGAAGTATTCCCTTTTAACATTTATGTAATGTAAAAGGATGCTATTTACTGCAAAAAGAAGTTTTGAGTCTTTCTCAACTGACACTGACTGCTTCAAATACACTCGCTGTTACTGTCACAGAACATAGAACAGATACTGAGGTACTTAAACTGATCCATAAAGTTTTCTGCATCTTTAAGCTAAAAAAATTAACTGCATGTATTGACATATATATATTGTCATGTTCACATTTTTTGTATGAAATTTTCTTACATATTTTGTATAGTATTTTAACCATTAGCCCTTAGCATGCACTTTTAAATTTTTAATTCCCTCTGAACAGTATACACCTTTTATGCACATTATACCTATTCATATGCTTGAATATTAATTTTAAAAAGAAAGTCTGAAAATAGTATTGAAAATATTATAGTTGATTTCAAGAGAGTATCTTGAAGCAAAAGCAGGAACCAAAGCACAGCAGATCCTATACTTGGTTTGTTTTGGATGAAGGATGGATCCATAGAAAGACCTTTGATAGTAAAGAGCAGGTTGATTTGTGTGATGGAGAAAGGGGAAGAGGTGGGGAGAAAATCGTCTGGTCCTTTGATTTGGTCAACTACATTTATTTCATTTATGTTTATAGTCTACTATTCTATGAATCTAAGAAAGGAACCATGGAAAGAATTTTCCCTCATTTATCTTCACAGCAAAATATCAGAGCACTTTTTCTGAAAAGATGATGTTCAGTCGTGTCCAGCTCTTCACAAACTCAAAGACCGTAGTATGCCAGGTCCCTCCGTCCTCCACTGTCTCCCAAATTTGCCCAAATTCATGTTCATTGCATCAATGACACTATCTAACCATCTCATCCTCTGCTGTCTTCTTATCCTTTTGCCTTCAATTTTTCTTAACACCAGGGTCTTTTCCAACCAATCCTCTCTTCTCATTAGGCAGCTAAAATATTTGAGCTTCAGTTTTAGTATCTGTGCTTACAAAGGACAGTGAGGGCTGATTTCCTTTATCTTTTTTGAGCAATGCCATTTAATATAATGTGTTTGTTAGAAAAGATGCCACCAGACTTTAACTTTAACTGGAGTAGAAGACCTCCAAGATCCCTTCCAACTCTGTGATTCTGACATGATTGCAATGATGAAGAGAAGGCCATGGAGCTAAATCTCATTCATCAAGGTGAAGACTTCAGATTTTTGCTCCAATAGACTAACAGGGCTGTCCTATTACAATATTTTTTCATAACAAATCATGATCTAAAATGAGCTGAAAAATACCAACTGCTGTAACCCATACACAAGAGCTTTGTGGTAAGTGGGAGAAGTTGTTTCAAACTGAGGACAGAACTAGTTGGAGACTATGTATTTGTTCAAGCTCAATGAGATATATTTGTTAAACACTATCCCAGTTAATAAACTATTTTCTGAATGTTATAGTATTCAATTTAATAGTAGTGTTTTATATTGAACTTTAAAATTATGTTTGATTACAAGACTCATTTATATATTTTATGTCTATTAATGAAGACTTAAATGTTTGTTTCCTGACATTTTACAGTGAATTATCCTCAAATAATTTATTTACAACCACTGATAATCAGTGTTTGCTATGTAGCTGAAAGAAACATATTTTATGTGATGGAAATAGAATCTATTTTAGAAAAGGCAAATAGGATTTGTTATTCTTTGTTTTAGATCAGGCTACTTTAAACTGTGTTCCACAGAACCCAAGACTTCTGCTGTGACTTGATAGGGTTCAGTAAGAAACTGTAGAGGAAAACAGAGATAAAGTTGACTATGTCACTAAGCGCTCTAAGCGCTACTAAGCGCTCCATGGCATAGGACCCGGGTACCTTCGAGACCATCTTCTGCCACCAATAGCCTCCCACCGACCAGTCCGCTCCCACAGAGGGTCTCCTCAGGGTGCCATCAGCCAAGTTATGTCGGCTGGCGACACCCAGGGGGAGGGCCTTCTCTGTGGGAGCCCCAGCCCTGTGGAATGAACTGCCCCCGGAAATATGTAAGATCTCCGACCTCCGGGTGTTTCGTTGCGCATTGAAGACCCTGTTGTTCCGCCAGGCCGGGCTATCAACATAATAATTTTAAATTGGGGTATTTTAAATTTTTGGGGTTTTAAATCGGCCAAATCTATTTAATTATTTTAATTTTTAATCATTGTTGTGTCTTGTGTTTTTAAATTGGCTGTACACCGCCCTGAGTCCTTCGGGAGAAGGGCGGTATAGAAATAAAATTATTATTATTATTATTATTATTATTATTATTATTATTATTATTATTATGTAAGCAACAGCCATTAGCAGATAAAATAGACATTAAATAACATCTCTGCCCTGGGGAAGTAGGGAGTGTCAGAGACTAAAAAAAAACCTGCCTTGATTCTGCATACAATAGAGGAGGCAGGGGAAAACTATAAAAATAACTTTTCAAGATTCAGTTGTTATATCCCATACAATAAGGTGGAGCTCTAGTACAATAGTCATTGTGGACTCTATTTTCTAACTGGATCTACCTCAATGTGGTAACTAGCTCTGAGAACAGATACTTTTATAATAACTTATGGGCATTTCATCCTGAAAGTTTGAAAATTCCTGTTTTAGATCTTTGCCCTGGATTCCAGTAGATTGAAATTTCAATTCAGAGTGGAATTATACCTTTTTGTTTACAAGCTCCATTTTATCTTTTTTGAAGAAAATGGGAATATTCAGAAAGGCAATTATGTAATGTTGGCACTTGTCAACACGATTTGCAGCACTGTAATAAGATTTGAGTAGCAGATGGATTTCAGTGATGGTATTTTGCTAAATTTAAATTGCTAGCATTCGGACATGTTGAGGATGGAGCCTAATAATACAGAATGTTGAGGTATTGAGGTATTAGCAATTTTTATTAAGGTTTCATGTTTTGATATTTTTATTGTTTTTTGAACTACCCAGGATTATGGTGTATAAGATGAGCAGCCATATAAGTTTTAAATACATAAATAGATAAATATTTAATTACCTATTTCCTTTATTAATATTTAGGGATCTATGCATTCTAAGACACGTCTTTGTTATACTGATTTACTGCCAACCTTCCATTAGTCTGGAAGCAAATGAGCAAATATTAACAGTTTTGATAGTAGCATCTGTATGTAAATAAGTTTTAAAATTGTTTTAAAGTATCCTAAATTCATTCTAAAAGCATTATTGTGATAGAAAGCAGGGCAATCATCTGAAATTCCAAATATCAATTAATTACTTAATAAATTAATTTGCTGAACAATGGCAGGAAAATAAATTGCACGCTACAATACCAAAGCAACCTTGTTCTAAAATAACTTTTTTCCTCCTAAGACTGCACTTCAGAGGTTGTTTTTACTGTACTAAGAATTCACAATAGAGTATCAATGAACTCAGGTGTACTGGTTCACTGAAGATACCTGAAGTCACATGTCTATGGAGATTCTCAGTCATCGAGGTCATGATTGTCCCAAAAGTGCTTTTCAAAATGCAACTGGATTTTTTTTGTTTTTTCCTTGAAAAAGTTTTGCTTTTCATCCAAGAAGGTTCTTCAGTTCAGAAGTGGACTTCTTCAGAACTGAAGAAGCTTCTTGGATGAAAAGCGAAATGTCCTCAAGAGTCCAGTCCAAAGAAAGTCCAGTTGCCCTTTGAAAAGCACCTTTGCGTCTGAAGTCACATATTTTCTCTGAATTGAAGCAGAACACATTAAGTGCCTTAATTCAATCGGGAGGTGCAATACAAAGTTTCTGGATAAAACAAAAGTTCAAAACAAACTCTGCAAGCTGCACTAAGGGTAGGGTGGGGGCAGGCATATAATGACTATATACCTGCTGATGAAATGTTGCACATGGTCAAATCTTTACCTGTTCCATAATTTAAATGGTAATGATTGCCCGGGTACTGCGTGTCACTAGGACTGCTACAATAAGTTGATCATCACCATGAAAATAATTTTTTTCCCATCATGTTTGACAGACATATTTGAAATATTTTGAATAAAATTCTTTTAAAAATATAAGATTTTACTTCATCTGGAATGTGCTTTTCTGAACACCATATTTAAACCCTTTGTAATAAAATATATGATAGTTTATAGTGTTTCTTTCATAATGTTCTGGACTAAATACTTAATTCCACACCTACCAATGCTGGCAAATTCCAATCCAGTCATTTGAAGAAATCCTTGCCTGTTATTTAATCCAACACAAATGTCTGCAGTTGGTTTACAAACCATGCTTCCCATAATGCTCTAAACTGCTTATGGAGGTCATAACGTGCAGAGCAGCAATAGCCGATTAACAAAATCACATCGTTTTGGTGCGCTGAATAATAATCAGTAACATATATAGACTATCAGATTACTATCTCCATTGTTTCATGTTCAATCGGTGTTTTTAATAGAGGCCTGTCCCGGAAGGAATTAACAAGCCTCCATGCTGCAACAAGACATGTGCTTTTTCAGATGACATCATCCTCCTCAGTAGCTAGGCAGCGATCTAGTCGGAGTGTTTGTAAATACTGAAAAAGAACCCTGGGGGTGGGGTAATCGCATCAATCACGTATGGAGAAGACAATAGTTAAACCGATGCACTGAAATTTGCAATTGTTCAGGACATTCCTTTGAATTAGTAAATGTTTCAAAGACAGCAGCAATAATATAAAAGTGACTAATTGTTTTAAATAATATAAAAGTAAATAATATAAAATTTGAAATACTATTGCATAAACTGACAATGGTGGTCTGTGATTATTGGGACACTGGGTGCCATACCAAAAAAGCCGTAGATGGTATGATATTAAAAAATTTGCACTTTGACAAAATGTCCATCTGTCAAAAAGTCATCTGCTTGGATCTGCATATATATTATGCTGGTATATTATAGATTCTTGGGAAGAACTCAGTGCAAATTCAGGCCAATACCAGCTAAAAAATTGGCAACAGTGACTTTACATTTTTATAAATATTAATAATAATAATAATAATAATAATAATAATAATAATAATAATAAATCTTCCTAAGGTGAACTTAGGAAACACTGTCATCTTGAAAATTAGTTAATAAATATTAGGTGAAACATCATGCTATCCTGTATTATTAATGTATAATTTACCTGTCTAGGCTTGATGTGAAAGCAGTGATTTAAAAACATAATTCTGTTTGTGTCTCATTTTAATTGGCCAATGTAATGACATATTGATATTTTGACAGAAATACCATATATAATCATATTTTAATGTTTAAAAATACATTTAGAAAATTAGTTTATTAAATTAAAACATTTAATAGCATATTGTATGTACGTACATTAGCTAAAGCAACAGCATTAACATTCTAATATAAATCAAACAAAACTTACTGGCAAGAAAAAAAATCAGTGCTCAAATTAATTTTTACTTTCCACTCTTATTAGAAATGCCTACCAGTATGAACAGAATACAGAACGCATAAGATATATTGCATTTCTTAGCACTGTATCTTGCTAAGTATAGGAACTGAAGTACAGGGTACAGTTTAGTACACAGCTTCAGGGAAGAACACGAAGAGCATTAATTAGCAAAATACTGATGTGGTTGTACTTCTCCATTTGAGACTAGTGTGCAATCCCCATAAAGAACTGGACCCTGCTTGATTTGTCATGTGCAACAATTACACCCAAGAGTGCACCCTTCTGAGGGTCACTAATACTCTAGTCACCTCAAGACTGGACTATTGCAATGTGCTCTACATGATGCTACCCTTAAGATTCTCTGGAAACTCCAGCTGGTCCAGGAGCACAAGTAGCAATGGGTGCTTCCTGTTATTCCCGTGTGTCATGGCTGCTCCACAAACCACATTGGCTACAGTTGCCTTCCAGTTACAATTCAAGATGTTAGTTATCTATACAACCCTTCATGGTATTTATTTATTTGTGGGACCATCTGTCTCCAGTTGTTTCTGCCTGTCCAGTACATTCAGGCAGAATCCTCTCATTTAAATCTTATAATGTTGTTGAGTGACCAAGGAAATGGTTTGGGACCAAGCAAGCATATTATCTGTGTTTCAATTTGGAACAATAACCCATTGGAGATACATGGCTTCCACGGTCCAAGAGTTTTGGAAGTCCCTTAAGATCTGGCTCTGTTCCCAGACTAAGGTTTAGAGTGCCTGGGGAGCCTTGTCAAGTCTTTTTTCTGATTGTTGGGAATGCTGATTTAATCTGGGCAGTTATGTTGTTTTAATTGTGAACAGCAACTCATTTGAGAGTCGTATAACTAGTCTGCCTTCTTGCATTATTTTTCTGCATTAGTGTATTCCTACAGCTGCTTTTTGCTTCACTGGAAAAATAATTGAACATGACAGGTTGTTTTACCAAGCAATAGAGTACTTGGTCAGTTGGACTGGGAAACTGTTACCTGGTTGAAGGTCTGTCTTTTAAATCAGATGTTAATCAGTTCCCCAAATTCTGATAAACATGCTGTGTTGTGGAAATGTGAAGCTCAATACATGTAGAAGATGATCTCAGCATAATTTCTATGAATTTACAAATTTAGTTTGAGGGGTATGTTAACAAATCCACCTGCAATATACTGACTCTGTAAACCGCTTAGAAAGAGCTGTAAAGCACTATGAAACAACATATAAGTCTAAGTGCTATTGCTATGCTAATGCTCAGAATATGATATACAGTATATACCCATGATGGCAAACCTATGGCACGTGTGCCAGAGGTGGCACGCAGTGACCTCTCTGTGGGCACACGAGCTGTCCCCCCCAGTTCAGCTCTGGCACACATGCATGCACGCCTCCCGCCAGACAGCTGATCTTCGGGTCTCTGTGGCGCATGTGTGGGGGGGTGGAGTGTGCGCGGAGTGTGCGCATGCATGGGGCCGGCACGCATGCACTGAGGCCGGGGTGCATTTTAGGAGTTAGGGCACTTCGGGCACTTGGTCCGGAAAAGGTTAGCCATCACTGGTATATACTATACAGTATTTTATATAATATTTTATATAATAATTCATTTTGTAGTGTCAGTTGCAGCACAGATGGAACTTCTGATCCTTACATTCTTGTTTTTGGGATACTCAGTGGACTCATCCTTAATTATTTGAACCCATTTGGAAGTAGTTTTCACATCGGAACAAATTACTCTGAAAAAAGCTCCAAGCATTGCATTTTCTCTTCCGATAATTTCAAGGTAGGCATGTACTGTAGATAGACAAAATGAAAAGCAAAATAAAACATATATTTTTGTTTCAATACCATCACTGATCTACTGAAGAAAACTGTCTCTGAGAAGTCACTTGGTGGCAGTATTACTGTGCTTACTCTTTCAAGGTTAGGCAAGGCGCTCTAGTTGTTGTATTTGCATTTGAATATAGATGACTGATAAAACTATATGATCAAATATTTATTATACTGTATTTTAATGTCATATTTTTCCGTTTTCTATATTTCTTATCATTTTAAATATAATATACACAAATATAATCTAGATAGTGTCTGTTCTGTTATTTTTTGCTCTATTGTTGGTGTATGCCAAAGCACTATCACTTGTGACTAGCACATTATGCTGGGTTTGTTTGGACTATGGTTCTTGAAATTTGAGATCTTTTAATTATGTTGTACCCATAATGTTTTATGGGTACAACTTTCACCAACTAAAGAGCAGTTGTTAATTATCCTGTTGTAGATATGTTTCTATTATCCAATAGCTGTCTTGACCCTACCAATGTTCTTCTGTACTTAAATTTAGACATAAAAAGATCTTGAAAATTGCAGCTGCGATGTTATTAGTCAAGTCACTGGTATAACACATTGTGATGGTATAATTCAGTACTTGATTCAATGTTTTGATCTATAAGAAATTATAATTTTCTTATGTTGAAAATAGTTCTTTCCTCTCATTCTGTATTACAAATTTTATTATGAAATAATTGACCCTGTGTTAGACCATGTGTTGTTTCATTTACAATCAATAGTTTCTGTGGTTTTCATATTATTGCATATTTTGATCTAAATAAATTACACTTTTACAAATGGAAAAAGAGCAGAATCATTTGTGCTATGTAAGGCAGTCGTTTACTGGGATAAAAGTGTTATTCTCTGAAATGTATTCCAGATGACACAAGGAAATGGGTTTTATACCCATCTATTCAGAATTCCTATTGAATTCAAGGTCATAGGATTTCAACCTCCCCTAACAGTAATCTGATTTTTATTACTCAAATAATTATAATTATATAACCAATCATGTATAAATTACTTCTCTCTAAAGACTAAAGTCCCTTTCTCAAACAAATTACACAATTAAAGATAGAGGCTTGGGGGGAAATCAAGTTTTCTGAAAACAGAAGTTTGCATGCAAAAGATAATGACTCTTCTTCCCACTCTTCACAGTAGAGTTGGGTGGGTTGTGAAAACTACAGAGGATCGTCTCTCAATATAAAGATAGTCCTCGACTTATGACCGCAATTTGAGCCCAAAATTTCTGTTACTAAGCAAGACAGCTATTGAGTTTTGCCCTGTTTTATGACCTTTCTTACCAGTTGTTAAGTGAAACACTGCAGTTGTTAAATTAGTAACATGGCTGTTATGTAATTCTGGCTTCCTCAATGACTTTTTGCATGTCGGAGGGTTGCAAAAGGTGATCACATGACCCCAAGACACTGCAGCCATCATAAATGCATGCCAGTTGTCAACTGTCTGAATTTTGATAATGTGATTATGGGGACACTGCTATGATTGCAAGTGTGAAAAACAATTATAAACCACTTTTTTCAATGCCATTGTAACTTTGGTCACTAAATGAATGGTTGTACATCAAGGAATACATGTACTGCAGATGAAAATCATTCTATTAGCAAAACAATTAGATTCTACTTTTAGATATTATTTAAAGGTGTAGTTTTTCTTTTGTATAAGAAAATTCCAAATCATTATTTTTTCGGTCTTTGTATAAAAGATGATCTGAATTATTTTCAAACTGCAGAGAGGTACCCATGTTAGTCTTTTGCAGCAAAAGAATATAATAGAATATCCTTTTATAGAATAAAATATCCCTCTGTAGCACAGCTGTCAAACTTCCAACCTGCGGGCCGGATGCGTCATGTGCTGGCCATACCCAATTTGTGGGGAAAAAGGAGAGGAAAGTCCCACTATGTCACATGATGCTGCCATGACCACGTGCCCTCTATAGAATAAAAATGAACAATTTATCAGTTGTATTTTTTAATTCCAATGATTAATAAAAGGTATATTTATTATAAGAAAATACATTTTGATAAATCAATTTTACAGGTCTTGAAAATGTTATACTTTATTAATTTATATTGTACACAGATTCCATGTAATAGTTTCTGAGCAACGTGCAAACTAAACAATTTAAGAAACATTATTTATATACCTGCACGAACACTAAAAGGTAGGCAGAAAAGAGAGGGAAAATATTCACAGGAAAGACCAAAGCCTTAAATGGTTGCCTAAAAATTGTTAGGCATCTAAAAATATTATTGACAAACAAGAGAAGAAAACTTACATATCTAGAAAGTTACTTAAAAACAGTTGGACATAAGTCTTGTATTGTTACTCAAAAAGATTGGAGAATTCCGTCGTACAAGAAACTCACTTGTTTCATATGGCCACTAATGAAATGAGGTTTACTGAAATATTTAATAAAACACATATTTTGACAAAGGTGAAGAATTTGTAAAATATATTAGGCACTCATTTTAAATCACATTGCTTTATTTTCTTGTTAAACCAAGAGGAATATTTTTTCCTCTTGGTTGGTATGGTATGGTGTGGTGGGATGTCTGTCTGTTATCTACCTACTTATCCATCCATCCATCCATCCATCCATCCATCCATCCATCCATCCATCTTGGGAAGGTCTAGCCCACAGGTGTCAAACTGGTGACATCACAATTGCTGTTACGTGACATATCACGTTTTTCCCCTTCATGGAGCTGGAGTGGTGTGGCCTGCGCATGACGCATCCGTTCCACAGGCCGCCAGTTTGACACCTCTGGTCTAACCCATATACTGTACAGATGTTTCTATACAGAATGTCATTACTTAATTGTGCCATTCAATGTGTTATTCCTGCCTACATCTTACACCCTGCCATTGTGTGATGGATTGAGACCTTTCTATATAATATCTCGGGTCCTTTCTCAGGATAAGCCCCTGCTTCTAGGATCTAATGATTAGTGCCTGTTCTTATGCTACTATGAATAGTGCCTCAGTGCTGTCTTTTAGTCCAGCCCTTTCTAGCCACTGGCATGATTTCCCAATGTCTGCCACTTCAGCTATCTGTTGATAGTACATCCCATATCTTCTTGGCATGGCATTACCTCTACTTGGTATTTCTCCCATGTCTGCTACTGCCTCAGGCATTCTCTCAGCAGTTAATCTTGAGGTGCCATCTCACTGATGTATTCCTGGCTGCCCTGGGTTTTATCCAGGACAGTGGCCTAGAGACACTCACCAGACTCCGCCCATCCTCTTTCCACCTGGTGTACAATCCCTGGGTATTGGATTTGCAGTAGAAAAAATCATGTTGTGAGGAGTTCTGGATCTTCACATTGGCAACTTCTATGTCCTGCTTTGGCCAGCTCAGTATACAGCATGGGTAATTGGTAGGGTATATTGATAAATGTGGGCCCTGTTCTTCCCACTCTTCAGGATCTTATCCTTTAAAGATAGCTGTTTTCCTTGCCTCCTCATTGTAGTTCTCATATGAAGGAGGTGGTTGATTGTAGTTCCTTCCTTGAGCCTGTATTCCTATCCAGTCCTTGAGATAATGTGGCTGATCGGTACAAGCTATGCAGAACAGCAGCATGGACAGTGCATCACCATGGTATATGCTGCACTTGATGACTACTTATGTGAGTTGTCTTGAGTTGACTTCAAATGTCGTCTTCCATAGTCCCATTGAGTTTTTGAGAAAGGTCCTTAGTATTCTGTGGACTTTGTATAGCACCAGCCATTCATAGATCAGTGTGTGTGGCACTAAGCCATAGCCTAGGCTTTTCAGTAGTCAATCCAGATCGTGTTTAGATTGGTCAGTGTAGATCTTGAGTCTTGGGTGACTGATCTACCTATGAGCAACTGATATTTTGAGCCTCTGGTGTTATCCCAATATCTTTATGAGTTATGCTCATGTACTCGCTCATATGGTTCTGTAACTTGATTCCTATGATGCCTGGTAGGACATCTCATGTCGTGTGAAAGCAGATTATTGGCCGGTAGTTGGATGAAGATGGTCCCTTGTAGGGGTCTTTCATAATTAGCACAGTCCTTCCTTGTTTTAGCTAGTCTAGATAGAAGCCTGCTCCTAGCAGCTGATTCATCTGTGTTGCTAGGCATTCGTGCATTGCTGTTAGTTTCTTTAGCCAGTAGTGTAGATCATGTCCAGGCCAGGTGCTGTCCAGCTCTTCATGTTCTTGACTCACTGTTGGATGTCTCTCACTGTGATAGCAATAAGTCCTTCAGCCACTTTGCACTGATGTTATGTTTCTTCTCTTTTTCCCATATGTTCTTTTTTATTTTTTTTATTTTTTTTTAATTTGATTTATATGCCGCCCTTCTCCGAAGACTCAGGGCGGCTTACAATGTGCTCAGCAATAGCCTTCATCCTTTTGTATATTTATACAAAGTCAGCTTATTGCCCCCACAAACTGGGTCCTCATTTCACCTACCTTAGAAAGGATGGAAGGCTGAGTCAACCTTGAGCCTTGGCGAGATTCGAACCCTGCAGTAATTGCAGGCAGCTGGTCTTAATAAGCTTAATAACAGGGTGCCTTAAACCCCTGTACTACCAAGGCTCTTCCAGTACTGTTCAGTTTCTGCTATTGCCGTTTGTGCTATTATTGTGTTGTTGCACTGCAATTTGAAGTACACAGCCTGGATGGTTTTCTGGAGAAGAGGGGTTTATCTTCTTGGCCTCTGCTTCTCTATTGAATCTTATTATGGTAGCCAGTGCTGTGAGTGTTTGCTTAGCAATCTCTAGGATTTCAGATGGAGTCAGCCCCTTGTGTTTTTTCAGTAGTTGAATCTTATCCTTAATCTCTACTCCCTTCTGTAGTTGCACCAGTTGGCTAACTTTTCTTTGAGTTGCCTTGATCTTAGTCTCATTCTCTGGGACGAGGATAGGTAGGTAGTACTGTTCTTCTTGATTCTCTAGTCAAGCATCTCCAGTATTATAGTGGCTTTAATGTATACTGGTTTATTTGTTTGAGTTATAGTAGTAATAGTGATTGTCATGAGGGCTCTACTGACATCTTGTAGCATACTATCTGATGGTACTTTTCCACCAAGCTCTAGTAATGAGGGACGAGGTAGCTAGTTTGCATCACATTGCACTTCCGGGTTGAAAGGATTAGCCACTGACATCACTGTTGCTTGGGGGATGCCTAGTTGGGAGCTCCTTTCATGTTCCTGGCAGGAGTTGAAATGAAGAATGGGAGCTCATCCTGCCCCACAGCAACAATATCTCGAATGTGGGCTTGCTGCTTGTCAACTCAGCATCCTAACCATATGAGCCACTATGCTCCTTCTGTAGCTAGTTTATCCATGCTTCATGTGCTCTTTAATGGAGAGGGTGGTAGTGATATTCCAGCTTCAAATGTTGGCTGCATATCCAATTCTTCTGGGTCTTCTGAATATGACATGTAATTGTAATTGGTTTATCTCAAGTTGTGAGAGCAACTTCCTCTTCGCTATGTTGAAGCATTAATTAGCTCTCAGTTAGTAGATGCAGATCTTCTGTCCATCTATACTTTCTTCATACGTTTCATATATTCCTTCACATTAGATGTCCTGTTGTTGTAGCATTCCATCAATTCCAGACTCTCTTCCAGTAGCTCATTTATCAGATTGTCCTGGCTCCCAAATATATGACACGCATCTTGTTAATCCAAGTGATATCCAAGCTGGCATGATACTCCTAGTTTGTGTCATATTTGAGGTAGGCAAGTGAAGCATTATGGGATCTTTGTCCAAGAACCCCTACTGATAATGTAGGTACTAGCCAGAACCCTAGTCTCCAATGTCAAAGGTGCCACTATAATCACTATGATATCCAGCTGCATATATATAGGTATGCTAATGACATACTGTAAACAGGCATGCAGAAATAATCTTGACAAAGGTGTGCAGGAACCCTTAAGGGAAAATAAAAGAAACTTTGTCTTGATTCTGTTTGGTATAAAAGAGGGCAGAATAAAACTCTGATAGACCTTTAAGTTTCTATATTTATATCCTTCAACAATAAAGTAATAAAGGATCCTTCTAATCTTTAGTGCCTGTTTATTGATGAGGCTTATTTCAAAGGACTGACATGTTGAAATGTGTTTTGTTAAATTCATTACGCTTACTAAAATTCAATAAACATTTAACCACACAGAGCTTCCTTTTTCTTCCAGAGAGTTAAAATAATTCTGTCTCCTCTTCCTCCCTTTTGATTTTAAAAATATTAAAATAAAATTGGTGCGTTTGCCAGAGTTTTTGTAATGGTCTATTGCTAGTACAGACTAATATAGATGTCTACTCCAATTGAATGAAATGCGCTAGAGGAATACAAGATTAGAATCATGTAAGGGCTGAATGAGAAAAGAAAGCCAATCTGATTGTACTGGTAATCCTTGACTTCCAACCATTTGTTTAGTGACCATTCGAATTTACGACAGTAAATTGAAAAAAGTAATTTATGACACACAACTATTGCAATATCCTGGCAGTCACATTATAAAAAATCAGCCCCTTGGCAACAGTCATAGATTTATGATGGTTGTAGTGTCCCACGATCATCATTTCCAACGTTCCCAGATGGTTTCTGACAAGCAGAGACAATGGAGGAAGCCAGATTTGCTTAATAATATATGCTTCACTTAATGACCACGGTGCTTACCAACTATGGCAAAAAAGGTTGTAAAATTGAGTGTGACTCACTTAACAACTACCTCACTTAACAATAGCAATAGCACTTAGCCTTATATACCGCTTCATAGTGCTTTTACAGCCCTTTCTAAGCAGTTTACAGAGTCAGCCTATGGCCCCCAACAATCTGGCTTCTCATTTTACCCACCTCAGAAGGATGGAAGGCGGAGTCAACCTTTAAAGTTTCATTCTGAATTGTGGCCATGATGCAGTCTTTTGGTGGCAGCTGCAGTTTATTTGAACTCGAGTCTTGAAAACCAAAATTGCAAACCTAAATGTACATCTTATGGAGTATTCCCCAGTTTACTCACTGAGGTTTACATTGAAATATACTCATTGGGATCTATATATAGACACACCCAGAATTGGGCTGCACAATCCCAATTTCTACATCTCATTCCATGTAGTAACATCTTTTAAGAAAAACAAATCGGAAAGAAGGGAGATAACCTAACTTTCGGGTGGGGGGACTGACCCATATCTCCAACCCCTTCGGAAAGTTTCAAATCCCGTTATATATGAGAAGAAAAGGCCTTTCTTCATCATTAACAACACTTGGCTGGCTATGCAGAACGGGTTGCGAAGTCCTCCTGCCCGAGTGATTTCTGAAGCTATATACTTGTGCTGGGGGGGGAAAAAAAAGAAAAGCAAGGGGATGCGTCAATCATCTCAATCCGCGTGTATTGTTCTTGAAGGCGGCTTCCTCGAGGCGATCGCTCCTCTCAGCTTGGCCAGCCTTCTGAAAAAAAATAAAAGGGCACAAGTCAGCAGCCGGCAGTTCTCTCGTCTTCGTCTCCTTCCCGCCAGGGTTGTGGCATCTTCAGCTGCGCTTTTGGTTCCAGGTAGGCGAGCGGCGGAGCACCGCTGAGGTCAAAAGACGGAGTAAGTAGCCACGGAATTCACTTCCCGCCTCTTTGACGTCCTTCGCTCAAGCGCGGGCTTTGCGCCGCGAGTAAACGCGAGTCAGGCTGGAGACTTCGCTCACGTAAAAAGCGATCGGCGTCGCCCAGGTTTGGAGGCGGAGGAGTCTGGACACCTGTCCGGTTCCTTCCCTTCCTCTCTCGATTACCATCTGCCTTTGCATACAACGTCGCTCCGCCCCGGCTCGCTTTTCCGGAGACAAGTGGGGGGGGGGCGGCTTGCAAAGAAGCCACGTTGCCACCGCGAGGAGCACCGGCTTGCTTCCCACGGCTTCCCTCCCCCCACTTCGCGACGCCGGATCCCTTGGCCAAGAGGCGGCTCGGGGGCCTCCCGTAGAATGGAGCCCGAGGCCCTTACCTTGCCCCGGCCTGTGACGTCACCCGCGAGCCAGAGGGGAGCGTCTCGCCTCGCTTCTCCCAACATGGCGCTGCGGCCGTTGTGTTGCTATAGACGCTCTGTGCCTGCGACTCTAAGGAAGAGGGGTGGAGAGGCGGTCGGATCAGCCCAGGCAGCTGGGCTGGCCGGGTAGGGAGGAGAGGAAAAAAAAAAAAGGGGGGGGGGGAGTTCGCGGGACTGAGCGGGAGGGGGATTTAAAGGAGCCATGTCCCCGGCGCGACAGCCTCGGCTGCTGTTGCTGCTGCTGCTGCTGGAGAGGCCGGAGCCGGGCGGGGGACCGAAGAGGAAGGGACGGCAGCGGTTCTGCCCGAGCCAAGCAGAACAGCCGACCCAACCCTGAGCCGCCCGGGGGGAGGTAGTGGCGGTGGTGGCAGAGGCGGCAGCGGCCCCCGCCACAGGATGGTGAGTGTGACCCGGGAGGCAGAGCGGAACCGGGAAGAAGGACCTGGCCGGAGGGGATGGAGCCAGGAGGCGGTGCTTCGGGGCGGGGGGGGGGGGGGGGGGGGGAGAAAAGGGACAGGGAGGCGAGAGTGTGCCCGCAAAACCAGTCCTGCTGTCAGGGAGGTGAGTGGCAGGTAGGCCACGGGCGGGGTGGCGGGTCCGGCTCCTTTGACTAGGGGCGCGAGGAGAGGGTGGTCGCCTCCTGCAGCTGCCTTCACAGGGGGCAAATGACAGGTCCCGTGGAGGCTGCCCGGGGACAGCGGAGGAGCTGGAAGAGTCGAGGAGGAGGAGGAGGCTGGGGGGGGTGTCACTTCAGACAGGACAGGTGCAAGGGAAGGGGGAGAGTGGCCCTGTAAGGCACTCAGCGGTTCATGAGTGTTGGACCCCCTGAATGTAGCCATTGGCGGTAAGATTTGGACGGTGGCGATGCAAAGGTGCGAGCTTCTGCATGTCTGTCTGTCGGGGTTCTTCGTTGGGGGAGTAAATTCGCGTTCCTCTTGGAATGGGGGGGCGGGGGGGGGAAGCGTAAGACCATCCAGGTGAGTGTCCAGGATAGGGGATTTATTTCTATGGTGATTTAATCCTGGGCAAAGTTCTTGTGAAATTTGAAGTTGTTGCATCTGAAAGGGCTGAGCCTCAACTAGCTCAAAACAATTGAACTGCTTCTCTGTTTCGGATAATGGACATGGCTTGCCTTGTGGCTGATAACAGGCATGGCCTGTATAAAATGCATTTTCCTTAAGGTTGCACTCTTGTATCCATTTGCTCAGTTGAACTCAATGGGAACTGCTTCTTGGTAAAAAGGTGTAGAATTATTCTTTTAAGGTTCCTGTCACTGAAACTGGCTGCTCATTTGGCATGATTTTTTTGTTTGTTTTTTATCAAGCAGTTTACTAGGGTTTTACCTGAATAACTAACCAGTGAAACAATTACTACAGTACCTAGGCACATAATCTGAAATCTACTTATTTGGAAAAAAATACATTTGGAAACATAGGGATATACCTGAATTCTCAGGCGTGTATTTTTTTTATTATGGATTCTTTGATTCTATAACCTGTGGGAAATATTTCCTGTTAACATTCTTATATAACATTCACATTATCCAAATCCTGCTTGTGTTTGAAATAAAGCAGCATATGTCATAGGCGGCTCCCTAGGCGGCTCAGTGGCTAAGATGCTGAGCTTGTCGATCAGAAAGGTCGGCGGTTTGAATCCCTAGTATAGGTCTCCTGCGTGAACAGGGGGTTGGACTAGATGACCTCCAAGGTCCCTTCCAACTCTGTTACTTTTACTATCATAGTTTGAGACCTGAGTTTTCTGAGTGAGGCTGGTGCTTCCCATTAGGAAGTATCTAATAGGGTGCTGAAAGGTGACACGAACAAGTAATGTCAAAAATGTGATGAAATGAATCTTAACTCATCATGAGTGAGGATAAACGCTATGTTTGTTCACAACTGAAATTGTAAGCTAATCATTTTAAGAAAGGAGAGAATATTGTTAAATTTAGGCACCAATGAAGTTAGGGATAGATTTATACAAGGGTCATGTTTATCTTTTATAATCCCTTTTTTGTTTGCTTCACTAGAGGTTCTTCCACATATTAATCTTAATTGTCTTGCCGGTTCACAAAATTTTAATGGAATTTAAATAAACTGGTTTCCAGTGAAAATCCTTACTATTTCTCTCTCTTCTTATTATGAAATACTTATATACACACAAACACACATACACAAGAACACACACATTGTAAGAAAGGGAGAAATGGAATAAGCATATTGGTAATAGCAAGAACTATCCAAAAGGACTATCTTTAGCTACATATAACAAGCACGTTTATAGTTTTGCTTCAAAGAACTACTTTACCAAGTGCTTCACTGCTGTCTCCTGAATATTAGGAAAAGTTACAAAATGCAGAATTCAAAGGAGACACTTATCATGTTAGACTACATTATGTATGTTGACAGTCTGTTCTTAGATGTTTCAGTGATACAGTAACTTTAAATATATTGTATCAAAAATAATAAAGAACCTTGTGATTATTTAAAAACTTAATAGAATGTTCTATAGTCCACATTATGTCAGCTGTACATTATATTTTTGCTCATTTAAGCAGTTAATACATCAATTGTATCTATAGAATGATTATCCAGTAGATTCAACTGACACAGATGCAGAACTTCCCTAATCCTGTAGCCTTAATGCCCATCATAGCATTTTATGGGTCATCTTATAAATAAAGATTTGTTATAATATTCTCAATAGTACTATGTGAAGAAGGGCTTTGGAGATTCTTGCCCTTCTACTAACTATACCCTTGAATGTGAGCTTCAAAATATAACAATGAAATACAGTTTAACAAACAACCAGGTTTTGTTGATAGTAACTTTCATATCTGCAATAAGCAAAAAAAATTAAAATAAATTCTTATATTCATGGAAGAAGCTTTGATTTGGGATTAGATCCTTGAGAGAAGGGTTTTTACATGTTGTAAACTATTTTTTATATTGAGGATAACAATCAGGGTTTAGTCAGAACACAGATGTTTTCCTGTTCACACACAACAATTGCTACTTGTCTTGTTACAGATTATATGGCTGTTAAAAAACTGAAATCCTTGTCGCTTCCTAGTAGTATGTGGTTATGTTTTTCAGTTTACTGAATTCTTCATCATGAGACATTATTGAATTAATGAAGTAATAGGAAGTCTGTTGACTAATAATTGAAAATTGATTAAGTATATGTTTGTATACATCTCCCAGGAATTAACCAAAAGGGAAAGTGTGTTGCAACACATTAATGATAGCTATTTGATATAGCAGTTAAGGCATTAAACTAAAAACAGTGAGATCCTGAGTTCTAATCTTGCCTTAGTTCTGAAGGTAGCTGGGTGACTTGAGCTTCCTCTCTTAGCCCTAGGAAGAAGGCAAGGGCAAACCACTTCCAACTTCCTTGCCAAGAAAACTGTAGAGACTAATTCAGGTAATTATCAGGACTTGCATTGACTCAAAAGCACAAACAATAATAACAAAAGAATGTTATATTAAACATAAGATACTTGTTTTCAGCTTATTTTTTTCAGGCAGGTGTTGATTAAATGTGTATTTGTTATTTCCAAGTCTTTGGTTTCAGTTAAAAAAATGAATTCATTTTTTTTATTAAGGAGCTATTAATACATTTTGAATTCTTCCATTACATTCACCTTTATAATCATTTAATCTTCTTATGATTAAAATCATTGTCTAATTTTCAAACACAATGCTTCATCTGTTAACCAATAATAGGTATATTATTTCACATAAATTCAAAAATAATAAATATGTGGAAATGTTTCTATATGCATATAGGCAATACAAACCCTAATGGTATTAATGAAAGTAGCAAGAAAAGGGTGGTCATTCTAAATTTCCCTTTCTGGGTATTATTGCCAATCAGAAGAGCAGAGACAGAGGCTTCTGAAAAGTTATGACCTGTATTTGCTAATAATCACTTACTTCCCTGCATCACTCATAGCAGGGAAATATTTGCTGAAAACATTCCTTGGCAATTCTTTTCCTTCTCTTTGTTATTTTTCTCGTTTCTTCTATATAGTTGAAATTCAGATTTTAATTTCTGTAGAACTGAGACCTAGCCTGAACTGTGCTATTTCTTTTAAAATAAAAATAACATTTTATACATGTCAAACTCTTGCACAAATTTTTCTCTTTCATTTACAAAATTTTGTTATATCAGTACAGTACATACTGTAAAGCAACATATGACAATTTGTTAAGGGAAGTTATATTTGTATAACTTTGTTATAAGTTCTGGAAGCAGAAGTACAATTTTCTTCTCATCACTGCAATTTTACACATACTTCTCTAAGAGTACTGTAAATATAATGACACAAGTTCAGAATAAACATGCATAAGTTTTGGTTTATTTAAACAGCAATGATTCCAGTTTTTTGTGTGGATTATTTTGAAAAATGTCCAAGTAAGGGTATTCAAACTATGATATTTTTAATTGCTTTCACATTATATTAGTATATAGTGTAATTAGTTTGGTTTTTGCTTAGTGTGTTGTGTGAATCCAGCTATTGTAGTTTATTGAAAAAAAGCATGACTTAACATAATATATAAACCCAGCCTTAATATATGGACTGATGATTTGGGCAATTATGGTAATAAGGCCATTTTATTTTTGTTGGGTATTTTTCATTTCATGAAAAGCAAGCGGTAGTGCTTCTGTTTTACATTTTTGCATTTTTAATTTGCAAGACTACTGTAGAATAACAAATTGTAGTGCCTTTGCTGTTTTTTAACATTTATACCTGATATAAATTAATTACTCAGCATGATTTCTTGAGTAAGTGTGCTTTTCTTGTCAAAGATGCATGGCAAGGGAATCCTGGCAGTGTATTAATCCACTGTATTCAGTATGCTGTATCTGCATTAAAATTATCAGAAATTAGTGGCCTGTCTTATTTCGTTCTTTGACACAAAGGTCCCAATTGAAGAATGTTGGTGGTAGGTTAGGGCAGCTATATTAAAAACTAAATTATAGTTTACCATCATTCTGCTGATTACTGCCTTTCTGGTGTAGCATCTTTGCAAACTCAAACATTTATAAGGTCAATTTAGGTACCGGTACTTGCCACAGCAAAGCAGATTGTGAGGAGACATGTTGAAGAGACTGTTGACCTTTGGGTGGAGGTCAATTTGTCATTCAAGAACAATTTATATAGAAT